TAAAAGAAGAGTTAATTTTACGTTGATATGTTAAAAGTAACTTTCTTTTTGGAATTAATTTTAATTTTAGAATAAACTACAAATAATATTAACGCTATAAGTGATATTTAAATTCAAAAGATATTTTTTATTAAGCAATATAATTACCTTCACACCTGTAGTATTAAAATTTCTCACGAAGTTTTTTGCCACTTTTGCAATGTTTATTTTTTATATTCGTTGAATATGTTTCAGATTATTTGTAATCATCTGCAATATCGTTTCATTATTTAAATCAAAAGTTTCGAAAAGTTTATAGTTCTCTATGCAGATATTACGCAAAGCAAAAAGTATTAAAAATAATTATTATTGTAGTTAATTATTAACAGATTTTTGTAATGTGTCGACTCTTAAAATTGATAAATTAAAGCTAGCAGATTTTAACAATTATTTATCAACGCAAGTTATTTATTAATTAAACATGTCATAAATTGAATAATCCAATATATAATATTTGCTTTTCTATTTAGTAGTACTCAAATATTTCATTAACTTACAGTATCTAATACATTTTCTATACGTTGTTTTCTCATTTTTTTGATATTTTAGTATTTAAAGTTCATATATTTTAAATTATTTGTAATCATCTGTTGAAGACAATCACATACATATTTTTTATCTTTTTTATGTTCGAAAACATTATTGCTAAATTCATTGTATAAAATTTACAATTATTAAAAAAAAAGTTAAAAGCTGCAAGTTTCTTTCTTCCTTCATCTTGTGTAATTTTAATTTGAAATATAATTTCCCATACTATTTATAAAAAATCTGTGAATTATTTGTGCCTAATATTTGGGGTTCTAAAAAAGAACATGAGTATGTTCTGCGTATAGAAATGTAAATTAATATATATTTATTATTTTAGTATATAAATTGATTTTTGCTCTTACTTATTTAAAATTTTTATTTGAAGCAGTAATGATACCGGTAAATACCACTATTTTTATATTTACACTCTTTTTTACACTTTGCAAGAAAAAAATTGCTTTATAAATGTACCTGTAGTTAAAATGCGATACTCCCTACATTTGCTGAAATTATTTACAAATTATCTAAAATTTTGAAATGCCTGTGAATATTTTCTCTGTCTTGATCAGAAAGAAAAATACTTTTGATAGCAAAATTTTTTATACAACTATATACATTAAATTATATATTTATCCTCTACTATAAGATTACCAAATTAATTCAATAAAGTGCATTCAATAAGGCAAATTTAAAATTATATTTTCTCATCATAAGTATGAAAACGAAAATTTTATTAAGTAATATGATTTATAAACTGATAAAATAAATAATTTTTTTTTTATTTTCAAAAGAATGTAGATATACATAGACTCACTTTTAAGAATTATTTGAAGATAATAAATTTATGAAAATATTAGTTTAAGAAAGCTGATTGCATTTAAGTTTACTTCATCAAAAATTTTAAACCTAAACCAATAAAAAATTAAATCACAGATCGTGTTTTTAAAAAGAATCATATTTTAATAATAAGCAATAGACTTAAGTAAAATTTGCATTTTTTAAACCAATTATAGATAAAACTCGATTCGATATAAAATTTATTAAAAAAGATACTGGAATACAAATATTGACATATAAATATTTATTTAACTCGTTTTTATAACATTTTATGCGATTATTAATTGCATTTGTTAATTCAAATAGAAATAACATTTTGAACATAAATGTTTGAAGAAATTAGAAAAATGTATTCTCCGATTTTGTAAATTTTTGCACATTTATTGAATATAGCATAAATAATTTTATAATTTGCAATAATTTTGGTTAATACAATAAATATTCTAATAATAGTAATAACACTCTAAAAATAATCATAATGTAATAACTGTTATTATATAATTTAAATTTTTATTGCAGTACTGAAAAAAAAATCATATAGAAAAACAGGGACTAATTTATAATACATAGTAAAATGAAAATCTTTATTTTGTTCAAAAATTTTATATAAATATTAAAATTCATCGTTAAGTTGTTAATTCATCCCTGCAGTATTTATTTTTAAAATGTTTTTATATTTGTCTTTATCAATACATAATAACATTCTCTAAAATTTATAATCATATTTTATTCCCATGCTTCTGAATACTCTATATTTATTTTTTAATTTATATGATTATAGTTGTTGAAAAATTAAGGGAACTATTAATTAACAAGTTCTAGATGTGTAAAATATTTAGGAATTAAAAAAAAACAATCAGTAACCAACTTTAATAAATATTTTACAGAACATTTTAATCTATAAATATATTGACTTTTTTATTTTAATTTATGTAACAGTGTCGAATCAGAAAAATACATTGGATTTATGATACGGCTTAATACAATATGAAATTCTAGTGTCACAGTATTAAAAGTGTGGATCTATATTGTCCAAAATCCAGGGCAAAAAATTTGCGACTCTTGTATAAACTGCTGGTTTTTCAGTACCACAATATTTTGGCCCAAAAGAAACAATTCCTATGAGGTAATATCTAGGTGGTTGATCTCCTATGAAATCTACCTGAAATTAAGAAATAATTCTAAACGATCTTATTGGCCATATTCAAATTTTTGATAGAGTTCGAAAAGTTTGCAACATAATTTTAAATAATTTGTATATTATTTTCAAAACATATCATTCTGTGTCTTATACTTGAAAAAAATATCTTTGATGGATTCAGCGATTAAGATTTTTCGATTTATATCTAAAATACTACTGGATCGCATAGTAGCAGTTTCACAGTTTTTATTACCAAGAAACAAGTATAACATAACGTTGCCATAACAACGCTTTGTTATCGTCTATTTTACCGGAGAATTGGCTCTTTAAACTTTCTATATTTTGTTGATAAAGTTAATTTTCTTTTGCATAATCTGCTTAAAATATTTTGTTGTTAATTCTTCTGTTTTTTTCTTCAAAAGAAATTTTGTTTATCTAAAGAATAAAATAAATGTGAACAATCATATATTTGTGCTTCTTAAATTATTTGCAAGTAATTTTATTATTTGAACTTGTGCAAGTGTTTTAGATCTATTGAATAAGTTTTCACATGGTATATTAATCACTAACTAATTTTTAGAAAGAAACAATTAATATAATTAATAATACATATTTTAACTGCTTTCAATATAAAATAGATTTAAAAAAAGTATCCCACAAAAAACAATCAGCACGATTGTAGTTTTTATTTCTAAAATAAATTGTTAAAAAATACTAGTAATTGTTTTATCCAATATAGTTTTTTTGTCAGCTTATACATGATGGATCCACATTTCGTTAAATATATAACTAAATATTATATTAACAAACTTTGTTATAAATGTACTTAAAATTTTTTACATAGTCGTTTAGATAATAATAAATATTATTTTGATATAAATGAATTTGATAGTTATGTCTACATTTCTTGTTGTCATCACTTTTGTCTTTGAAAAATATGAAAAATGTTTGATGATTTTATACAAAAAATAATAGAAATAAAAATAATTATCACTTTGAATTAGAAAAGATCGACAATAATCATTCGTGATCTTCGGTATTTTAAAATCGGCAGAATAAATTTCAAATAATTGTTTACAACCCGAACTAATATTGCTGAAAACTCGAAATATTAATATATTATATAATATATATATATATATATATATAATATTATTACTATATTAATAATATTAGTGATTAAATTAAATAGTAATCTTGCAAATTTTAAAAAAATCTTTATCGAACTCAAAAGTTTTTAGCATCGTCAGTGAATTAATGTAAAAAATTGCGCTATAAACCAATACAAAACTATATAAAATTATTCCTGAACCAAAAAAATAAATTTTGGACGTTTTCAGTAAAATTCAGTAGTATAGTGTGAAAGTGAATTTTAAACTAAATATGATACATTATTATACCGTGCTTTTCAAATGCTTCTTTTTGAACTATTTTAAGTTTATTGAAAGAATTTAGCAAACATTGGAATATGTTATAAAGTAATAGTCAATGAAATGATTTTTATAATTGCTCAAATATAATTTTTATTCTTTGTTTGGTATAAATTCAATATACTATATTTTTGACTAGTTGCCTAGTCTATGTAAATTAATAAAAATAAAATATTACAAAAGAAACAATATTATTTTACAGATTGCTATTAAGTTAAATTATTTATACTTATAATTAATTTTGTAGAGTTTTCTACAAGCTGTAGACTGTTTCATATCATCCATGATATTCAATAAAAACGAAATACTTTTGACGTACTTTTCTCAAAAAAGTACAGTTATAATTTTTATAATAAATTTTTTAGGAGCTATAGTTTTGATCTTAGGAGAGCACTTAGATATGTGAAATTAAATTTTGTATATTTGTTTTTTTTTTAAAACAATAATATTTTTTTACATATTTATCTTATTAATTTTAATATTTTGGGGAGTGTATATATATATATATATATATATATATATATATATATATATATATATATATATAGTAAAATACAATTATATGGTTTTTGTTCGCATTGGTTAATTTCATTGTCATAATGCAGATCTTGAAATAATAGTTAGTAGATATATTTATAAATATTTTATACTATGTACGATATAAATTTGATATTTATATTTTTCAGTAAAATGGAACTATTTCTTCTGAAACTTGAAAGGGAATTTATTTAAACTATGAATGCTTAATTATTACATAGTAATTTTTCCCATATACTTTTCGATCTAATTTAGTTCTTCTTATTATACCTGTTTTTTGAGAAAATTTGGCAGTGTATTTATAAATGTTTTAAAAAAAATTATAATATGTCTGCTATAAATTCAGTATTTTCATTGGGAGTAGGATAAAGTTACTAAATCTTAGCTGAAGTGTTTATATTGTAAAATTACCTTATTTTAAACTAAATATGCCTAATTATTATACCATGGTTTTCAAAGGCTTCTTTTTGAATTATTTCAAATCCCTTGAAAAAATTCTGTGGAGCTCGAAAAAAGTTATGCTCTGTGGGAAATGTATTAGTAAAAGCTATACATTTTTCATTAATTTGTTTGATATACATTTAATATATTTACGATATATTTTTGAGGTTTTTTTAGTAGATTTAAATAAGGTTTCTTATATATACTTCATTATGATAAAGCGTCTTCTTTTCGCTCTATTTAATTCCTATTATCATTTGTTTCAATTTTTTTCGATAATTTGGCAGTCATAGGAAAAACTTATTCAGTTATAAATGATTATTTTTTCTATACTATGTATGTGGTATAAATGAAATGTATAATGAATCCAGGATAAAGATTGTATCGTTTTTTCGTAAAACTGTAACTGGTTTAATATTTAAACTTTTTTATACTATGTATGGTATTAAATTCAGTTGCACCCAGAATAAAGTTTCTATCGTTTTTAAAATATGACTTTTGAAAATATAACTAAAATTTTTAAATTTTCATGCCATCACACACAGTGTATGGTCTTTCTATATGAAAAATACCTTAGTAGGATTTTCAAATTTAGCGGTTAAGATTTTTTATTTATATCTAAAATACGACTGATCGCACAGCAAATAGCTAGCATTTTCACAGTTTCTATTACCAAGAAACAAGTGTTCAAAATGTTTTTTGGACTAGTTTGAAGCCTTTGGGTGAATTTTGCAAAATTTGGAAAAAGTGATAGCCAGATGATCCTATGTCTGAATATTCGATTGATGCATCTAAATTTTCCAATAAGAGTTTTATATTTTTTGGGACATCAAATAGTGTATGCTCTTTGTTTAAAAAAAATACCTTAGTAGGATTTTCAAATTTAGCGATTAAGATTTTTTTTATTTATATCTAAAATGCGACTGATCGCACAGCAAATAGGTAGCATTTTCTCACAGTTTTTATTACCAAGAAACAAGTTTTCAAAGGTTTTTTTGGCTGCAAAAATTGGAAAAGGTGATAGTCAGATGGTCCTATGTCTGGAACATACGATGGATGCATCTAAATTTTCCAATAAGAGTTTTATATTTTTTCGGGCCATCAAACAGTGTATGGTCTTTCTTTATAAAAAAATTCCTTAGTAGGAATTTCAAATTCAGCGGTTAAAATTTTTTTATTTATATCTAAAATTCGACTGATCGTACAGCAAATAGGTAGCATTTTCACAGTTTTTATTACCAAGAAACAAGTTTTCAAAAAAAAAAAAAATTGGGCTTGTTTGAAGCCTTTGAGTGAATACTGCAAAAATTGGAAAATGTGATAGTCAGGTGGTCCTATGCCTGGATTTATACGATAGATGCATCTAAATTTTTCAATTAAAGCTTCATATTTTTTTGGGCCATCAAAAAGTGTATAGTCTTTCTTTGCATGATGGAAAAAAATACTTTTTCCATTATTTATCTCAGACATTTTTTTTTCATCTTTATAGTTAATTAATTGATGTACATTACGTTTTTGCCGTGTTTCTCGTTTCATAAAACGATTATTTTTTGTAGCCTTATTATGGCTATTCCTCACTTCTGAATGTTTTTTTTATATAGCGAAGGAAATGCATTATGCATCCCAAATTCGTCTTATGTATGAGTATGTCAGGCTCAGTAACGCCTAGGTATAATACCGAGCAGAATCTCCGCTTTCCCTTGCCTCTGGCCCCAACGGAAGGGGGAGGATCTAGAATGTTCATTCTTTTATACTCATCTTTTAAATGAGCGAAGTCCCATTTGTCCTTTTTCGTTCCTTATTTGTGAATGTAGTTTTTTATAAATTTATGGTTTAGTAATCAAACCTTTAATATTCTATATTTAATATTTTATAATATGAACTATAATATAAATTAGTCACCAAACAATATTAACTTTTTCATTATATTTTCAACTTTACTCTATAGATGATTTATAGTCTGAAAATTCTCATTAATTTTGGCTTTTTTAGATACGCATGCGCATATTTTTAATAAAAATAATACATACTACACTGTTTTTTAATATTATATTTTATATAAATTTTTACTATTTTTTTTCAATCTCACTCGAATAACATTTATCATGTTTCTCAGAATACTTTTTTAGTTTTCTGTATGACTTGTCGCTCAATTTAACTTTTTGTAGAAGTTTTTTTTGTGAAGTAAATAAATGCCATAAGTAAAATAGCAAATGAAATCATTAATCGTTTCCATCCACGTTGATTGAGTATTGCATACTATATTATAAAGTATTTACTTATTACTTAATCTTTTATAATTTCAATAATCGGATCATAACTCTTTTTATGGAAAGAATTCCCATGAATTCATATTAAAACTCGAGTATATTTTTTTATTATCAACTGGTTTTGCTTGTTAAGCTTGATTTCTATAGATTCGCATTAAACCAAGAACTCAATAAAAATTTATTTTATTTTTAAATTTTTACCAGTTATAAATTTCGTCAATGATTTTCAATTAATAAATTTTTTATATATTTTTATTGTGGATCTCTGTCGGCTTATACTATACTATATAAATTATACTATATAAATATGGATATTAACGGCGTTATACTATATAAATATGGATATTAACTAATTATATAGTAGACAATTACAAAATCACGTTTGTAGTGAATCACTAATTTTATATAAATAATAATTAAATATAAATAATAATTTTATTTAAATACCTCTCCAATTAAACACATAGTAAATTACCAATTAATAATTACAATATTAGTCATTACTATTATTGCAACGCATCCGTTTTTAAAGAATATAAATTTTTCAATATTTATGTCTATAAAAAAGATCACCAATAAATTTTAATATTCAATCCTTAATTTTGAAAAGTCTGTACTAATTCAAATTATATGATTTTTGAGAAATATCTTTACAATATTATATATAACAAATTTCAGAAAATTAAAATTAATATTCTATTTAAGGACGTTATTTATAGCTATTTTTTTTGTCTTTTTTCGATTTTAAAACATTTTGCCTGTCGAATTAATTCATAAAATTTGTTCAATATTCATTTTCAACTAAAACAGTGTTTTTTCTTTGATATTTTTATTTTATATTTATACTATGTATTCAAATTTTAAATTGAAATTAGCCATCACTATAATTGTAAATATAATCGAAACCTTCAATTATTTTCAAAGCATTATTCATGATGAAAAACGTGTATTTAATCTATAAATTTATTTTAGCATTTTTATATTGAAGACATTATGATTTTAATATAATAATATAAATTTCTAACAGTTATATTTCTTAAATATTTGTTTAAGTAATTTAAAATTGGATAATTATATCATCGGCATGCAAATTTTATGTTGTTAATTTTTTTAAATATAATTTGGCGCACAATTTTTAATATTTTATTAAATAAATAAAGATATTTGTTACCATTTTGATTATTTTTTGTGCTTAAAATTATTTTATTAACTCCAACCACAATGATCGAATTTTAAGCATTCAATTTCTTCAGTAGTTTTTACTTTTGATATCGAAATATTGTTGAACTATTTATAATTTTGGTTTATATTGTTGATAGTTCGATAATATTGCTAATTAGTATAACCAGATTACAAGATGGCAACAAGAGTACAGAAATTTAAATTTAAACAATACTTTGTATCAAATTTTTAAGGATTTTTTACTTTATAACTTTTTTATCTTCAATAATTATGAAGAATACAAAAGTTATGCCTTCTGAAATCTAATAATATTCAGCATTTTTTGTGTAAAGATTTTGTCCTTTTGTAATACATTTTTTATTTCAAATTAATGTGAATAATTTTGTTTTAAAAATAAGACACAATTTTTTTTCTTGCAGGATCTCTAATTTTTGGATTCTCTAAAACTTTAGATAAATATTTGACTTATATGCAATCATTATAAATTTTATAAGATTTTACAAATACAAATACAAATCACAGAGCAATTAATTTTTTAAATATATTATAATGAATTATGTTCTACTTGAAAAAAAAATTATATTCACCAAAATATCTCCAGAATCATTTTACGAGTTAGAAGAATTAAAATTATGACTTTAAGGTTCTTTTTAAAATCAGCCCTAGTTAATAATGGGTTAAAATTTACCAATAGGATTTTGCATAGCCTTTCAATGTTTTTTTATAAAATTCATGAAATTAATACGAATATATTTTTTCTGGAAAAAAGAATTAGAAGTATTTTTATAGCAATATGTAATTGCATAAATAACACACATAATTTGGCTAATGGCATTTGGGTACATTTTACATAATTTTTTTACACCGAAATAAAATTGTATTATGTTAACATTTTTGTTAAATATTTAAATAAATAAATTAATAGGTATTTTAAGTATTTTACCTTTTGCAATGGACCTCCAGAATCACCTCCACAAGAATCCATTCCAACAACTCCACCAACGCACATTTGAGAAATTCCTATGGTTGTTGTTTTTTTATATGCCTTGTTACATTGCTCATTTTCAACAATTGGCAACTAAAAATTAAATAAAAAATCGATATTAATTTGTATCAATTTTTATCCTATTGCTATTTATTTTTGTTCGGATTTGTAGGACTAGTTTTTATTTAACATTGATTAACAGAGATTGTTTGGGAATTGAATTGATGTACTCAATTTCTTAATACTTATTTGGTCTTTATCATTATTAGTATTGTTTTTATTATGAGCCGAAACCAAAATTGACAAAACCAACCAAAATCCACCGAGATTTTGTTAGAAGGACGTGGAGATTCTAATCCAATAATTCAGTGGTTACTTTTTGAAATTTTCAATACTTAATCATCTTAAATAATTTTAGTACTATTTTTGTTTTGGTTATATTTTACTTGATTTCTAAATATATTTTTAAAATCCAAAATTATATTAATATCCTGTTGATAGAAATAATGTGTCAATTACTTTCCGAATTGTTCAAATTTCGAATATATCACGATTTTCTACTATCCATAGTGATTTTTCTATTTTTTTAAATTTGAAGTAGATGTTTTAAAAAACGACATTGTATAAACTAATTCTAAAAATATTTTAATTAGACATAATTGTTTTTTTTAGTGAAATTGTATAAATCAACTTTGTCTATCATATTGGTACGAGTCTTATTCAATAAATGTACCATAATGTATCATATATTCAAAGATTACTTTTTTAATTTAATATTTATTTATTATCATACTTTATTAAAATACCATGCTTCGAAATAATGTTCACGCTACTTTTTTGGATTATGTATTAATTGATTTATAAAAATATTTTTAAAATTCAAAATTATATCACTATCATATGGATGAATATCACGATTTTATACTATCCATTGTGATTATGCTATTTTTTATTGTAAGTATATATTTTTAGAACCCGTCATTGTAATAAATAATTCAATTTTTTTTTAATCAGATATAATTGTTTCTTTCAGAAAAATTGAGTAAATCAACTTCTTCGTTTTCTGTCATATGGGTGTGTCTAATTTAGATATTCATTTTTATAGTCTATACGCTATAAATTTATTTATAGTTATTTATATTTCTATATATTATAATCATTTCATATAATACAACTCCATACGATATAATGAATGCAATTAACTAAACCTAATTAACGAAACTCTAATTATGGAAAAAAAATCTTTTTACATTGTAATTTTTTTTTTTTCAAAGTCAATTATTATTTGATTTGTTTTAATACAATCTCATACTTCCATTCTATTGTTGTTTTGATGATTTTCTCAAAAAACATCGTAATTTTGCGGTATTAAAAATTTGTGAAGCATTTTTGGCAGCGATAATTTTTAATTAATCTTATTTACTTATTTTACAAATTAGAATTTGATAATTATGTATATACAATTTTTTATCAAAGCATTCTAATTTTATAAAGGCAATGCTAAAATTTGTTGTATCTTGTTGCTATTGGAAATTTTGTATTTTTGGGCCCTTCTACTAAAATTTTTAGATTTATAACTAACAGATGTCAACTTGGGATAATAAATGAAAAACTTATAATTCTACTTCTAATTAAGATTTAAGATATTCAAAGAAACTACAAAGTTTTTGCACATTAATTTGGAAAATACTTTATAAAATATCTTTTTATACGTTACACATAATAATAATAAGTCTAATAATATGCATTACTATACAATCTCAAACTTTATGTCTCGAATTATTATTGTCGTTAATTATTGTAAAAAACAATATTATTTTTGTCTTTTTATCTCAAACCCAAATTAATTATTTATAAAACGAAATTTTCTTAAGCATTTTGCTTTGTGCAAATATATTTTGTGTTTGATCACCATCTAAATATTAAATTAATGATACGTAAACTAATAAATAGTTGTTTTAAAAAATTACTCAATACAATTTGAACCATTATATGTTTGCTAATGTTATTTTGGAAGTACATTCTTGAAAAAGAATAAATTTTTACATGATGTTTTTTCAATTTGTTGGTGATAATAATATGAATTTTTAGCTAATATATATATATATATATATATATATATATATATATATATATATATATATATATATATATATATATATATATATATATATATCAAGAGCTTAAATATGATAAATTGATCTTTCTCCATATAACGGAACTTTATATGCAAGAATTATAATATCAAATAATATAATTAATTAATATTTTTTTTAAAGAAAATGCGTTTTTAATTTAAAAACTCCACTGTAATTTTATTGCAAATTGAATTTCGCATTTTAGACCGTTTGGTCATAAATTGTACAGAACTATTTTTTTATCAAAAAAAATTTATTAACTAATTTTTTGTAATACACTACTATTTTAACAAAACTTAACTTTGTTAATTTTGTTTTTACTAGGATTTAATACATTTTTCTAATTGGATGATTTTTATCGCATTTTACACCTATGAATCAAACAGCAGTTGTTATTAATAAAATAAATAACTTTATATTTTTTATTTATTTCTCTAATAGTAAATTTATTTGTCAATTGTTGAATCCAGGTAATTGAATTGTATTTGCTTTTGAGTGCTGTGTTTTAATTTAGTATTTTTAAAGATTCTTTTGAATATTCTAATATGCAATGCAGATATAAAGAAAGAGCCTAATAAAGATTAATTTCTTCATCAAAAATAAAAAAATCTTTGTGAGAAATTTTTATTACCTTCGAAATAAATATTTTTTGTAACTCAGTTTTTATATTTTTTTATGTATTTATCAATTAGAATTTCTCTTTTTAAATGACATTGAGCAAAGCTCTGCTAAACCGACTCATTGTTTTCATTTATTTTATATATTTTTATTACGCAAATTTCAAATTTCATGTCAATTTCAAGATCTCAAGTCGATCATTTAATCAAAATAGTATAATTTTATGATAGTTTGTTAAATATCTTCGATATATGAGGCTTCTAAAAATTTCTTGGCATCTGATTTGGCTAATGATAGTAATTATAAAAACTATTTTGGATTTTTATGCATTTAATCATTAGATTATAATTATAATAAGTTAGGCTTTTCGGTGTCAACACCCAAGTATTTCACAAGAAAGTATTTTATTTTGAAATCATAAAATTTTTTATTTCATTTTATAACTTATTTTGAAATCATATGTTTTTATTTCATTTCAAAACTTTAAATATAATTTTATGTTAGTACATATAATTTTTTTTGCTAGTAGTAGAATATTCATACTTTGATATATCTTGTATAGGGCCTTAGTTGATGCATAATAATATATACGACATGTTTAATATTAATTTTTCCAATATTACAAAAATATTTTATTGATTAATTAATTTAATTAATACTTGTGAATATTTATATTAGCCATGTTTTAGGAACTTGTTATCTTCAAGTATTAATTTGAAATAATATTATATATTTTTAATTTATTTTCTAAGCTGTACCGAAAAATGGCTCATAAAGGACTCAATTTTATTTTGCTTCTAAATAATTTTTATTCTTTTATTTTTTTTTAAATTCTCAAACATAGAAAATGTATAGTCATAAATATTTAATATCTATTGCAAATACGCATATCTTAGTGGATCATACTTTATAAATTGGAATAAAGGTATATAAAATTTTTAGATTAATTGATGTCCAGATTGTAAATAAGAGGCCAAATAAATAAATAAATAAGAATTTAACAAAAAAAATTTAAAGGTATTACAAAATTCTTTTTTTCGACATTAAGATACCGTTTTAATTTGAATTATGTTAAATATATTATGTTGGATTATACTTCATGAAGTTTCAATAGACTCCTGGCGATTTTTTATAAAATTTTGAGTTATTTTCTATAATTTAATTTGTTATGAAAGTGAACAAATTCAGAACATTTTATAGCAATTCATTTATCTATCTTTTAGAACTATACACAAATAGTTTTTAAAATTTACAGCCACCATAATTAAACCCAGCTGGAATGGAAAATTTTTGTTAAGCAAAATATGAACCATGAAACAAGAACAGCATGAAAATTTTCAAAGTTACTTACAAAACTATTTTATAATACCTAATTTTAAGATTCAATTTATTCGGAATTTGGTAAAGATACATTAATAAATAATAATAAATGATAATTTTATAAATTGTTACATGTAATATTTTTTTATGATTCTCAATTCAAATCGAGTTTCTAGCTTTTTAATTTGCATATTTGAAGAGTAATTTCATGTGATCGTTTGCACGTATTTAATTTTAAATAAACTTTGGAAATGATTGTTTATCAAATAAAAATAAATTATTTTATAAATTATTACATATCATTTTTTTTTCAATATCAACTAATTAAAACAAAACTCGTGTTACTACAAAACGTTGAATATTTTGTTTAAAACTCTACAAGCACGTACGATATACTAATTTTTCAATAATTAATCAAAACTAATATGTGAATTTTTCTAAATATTATATATATATATATATATATAATGTATGTATAATACATGTCATAAATATGAACACATTTTGAGATCAAATAATTTGAGATGGTAGATTTTTTTTTTCAATTTTTATTAATTAATTTTGAAAACAAAAAAAATTGATGCAAATTTTCTACATTTATTCTGATGTCTGTTTCCGTTATATGTAATAAGTTTTTAATCAGATACTCTTAGTAGTATTTTCTTGAACTAATTGATTTTCATATTCTAGTAATATATGCTGGTTATACAGTCTTCGAATATTTTTTTCAAATCAAGTAAATAACATGAGTAAAATATAATTTAAGAATAATTGTTTAATAAAATAATTAAATATAAGTCAGTGCAATTGTGTCAATGCCATGCCAATCGATATCCTGATCGACTCAAGTGGCTAATAGAACAATATGAAATTAATATAAATATCATCTTTAATTATTTCTTATTAGCTGAAGTATGTATTTTTTGGAAATTATCAACTATGTTTACAAACATAAATCTACTGTATATTTTATTGCCTTAAAGAAAATCAAATTTTTCGGATTCTGATTCTGATTCT